CTAAGCCCTACAATGTTCGGTGGGCTTCTGTGGACCCAGATGGGGACCTGGTTGGCAAGCAGTGTAAGGAGACCTGGGGACTCTTGGGCCCAGAGTCAGTGACGTGGCCACGGAGGACTCAAGTGAAGAGTGGAGCTACCAGCTGATGGGAAGAGATGGCATGTGCACAAGAACACCCACACTTGCAGATGGTACCCACGTGACCCGGACCGGACGACTGGATGATCAGAGCTCAACCAGGAGAAGAAAGAAGAGGAAAAAAAGAGTGATCTGATACAATTTGATGAACTTGACTTACACCTACGGATGCAGTGACTCAAAAGAAGGAACAAATCCTCACAGCAAGAAACATTCCCACCCCCTCCACACACAGAGTAGACAAAGATGGGCAACTTGGACATTGGATACCCAAATTGGGGGAGGGGAGAGCTACAAAGGCAAGAAGTGACTAGCTTACAAGCTTTCAAGAGGGAACCTAGAGCTCGGGGGCATGGAGGAAGGCAGAATCTCCAGTAAGTACTATCCAATTTGTCTAGGCGGAGCTGATTAAATGAAATACAGATGGGTCACTTGTGATACTTTAGTGAACAATTGTTATCAGGACTGATTATGAGGGTTGGAAATGCAAAGGCAGATGTTTTGTAGCAAGGAAGGGAGTGATTAATTCTCCAGTCTAGGAGCAGAGGTCTCTGGGACCATCAAAGGAGAAGAGCTGAGAATGGGACCCTACCCAGAGAAGCAAAAATGCCTGAGATAGAGACAGAGACGATAATGTGCAGTGATGAAGTGGCTGGGGACTTTGGATCCAGAGAGGGAGAGGGACTGTGTGCTGAGGACTGGGGGGAGGGGGAAGAGTGTAGGGGGCGGGTTTGTAGGGTATACCCTTTGGTCAGTTGATGATGCATGGAGGGGATTGGAACCATGGCAATGAAATGATATATGATGGAATGAATGTAAAATTGAAGTTCTCTCATGTAAACTATCATATAATTCACAACGTAAAAAAAAAAAAAAGTCTGCTACAAAAATCATAGAAACTTGATTAAACAAAAATATCAACAAGTGACACTATTATTTCTAACATATCCTTCCCATCTGTGTCTATACAATTTTGAAGGTGGTATATCCTTCTCTCAAGCCTTTCTCCAAAGATTTCTGTGCTTTTGAAATACATCATATCAAAACAGCAGTTTTGACATCCTTGAGGAACTCAAATTTTCCCTTTCCAATGTTCTCTGAGTATGGGGAACAAAAAGAAATCTTAAGAGACAAAAACAGGGCTGCAGTGTGGATGAGTAAGTTTTCCCAATGAAATTCTTGTAGGATAGCTCTTCCTACCCTTGGAGAAAGAGCAGGTGCATTATCGCAATGGAGAAAAAATTTCTTGGCACAACCTTCCTGTTTTGTTTTGTTGTCTCTCACCAATGCAGTTTTCAATTTTCTTATAACTTTTTTATAATAAGCCTCTGTGATTATCCTGTGTCCGTCAAGAAAATCCATCAAGATTATCCTTTGGGAATTTCTAAGAAATCACTATAATCTTCAGAGCTGATGCCCCTACCTGGAGTTAATCTTTGAGGTCTTTCCAAAATTTCTTAAAATGCTTGATCCATCTAAAAACTACTGTTTTGTGTGGGGCAGCATTCCTGTAAGGTTGTTGCAAAGTTTCAATAATTAGGGACGACACAAGCTGTTTCCCAAATTGTTATCAGCTCAGAACTCAAAATATTTTTCCCCCGTGGCATTAAGAGTGTTTTTTTAAGGCACTCTAATGAGACTAAGTCGTTTGAACTGCAAGGTCAGTGGTTCAAGCTCACCAGCTCCTCCTTGGAAACCCTATACAGGGTTGCTATGAGTCGGAATCGACTTGATGGCATTTCACAAAAACAACAAATGAGACTACAACAAATGTTATTACTGAGAGGACTTGTTTGCAAACATCCACTTATCTCAGAGATGTTTAAACATGTTTTGTTTCAAATAAATCTGTGCACATATGAACTGGAATACTCTTACCCTCATAATTAGCCTTAAAAAGGAATAAAGTATATGTTACAACCTAGATGAGTCTTGAAAATATTATGTTAAGCAAAATAAACCTGACACAAAATGCTCTGTGTTTGCTATATGATGCCAATTGTAGGTAATAAAAACAGGCAAAATTAGAGTGCTAGAAAGCAGATTTAAAGTTAGCAGGAATTGGGGGTAAGGAGGAAGGGGAATAACTGTTATCAGTTACAGGATTTTTATTTTTAAGGTCATGAAAATTAGATGGTGATGGTGGTGAATGAACAACCATGCAAATATACTAAAAACCACTGAATGGTATACTTTAAAGGGTAAGTTTTATGATTATGTGAATTATATTCAATTAAAAAAATACATAGCGAAAAAAATACATAGCTCAATAGACAAATGGATATAGGACATGAACAGACAATTTCACAGGTCAACAGAAACAATTAATGAATTGATGCATTAAAAAGCTCAAGCTCAGTCATAAAGGAATGCAAAGTGTGGTACCAGTTTTTAACTATCACATTGGCAAAGACTAAAAAATCTATTAAGTATTCTGGGTTAAAATGAGAAAATAGATGTGAAATTAAATTGGTGTGTTTTTGAAAAAAAATTGGCAATATTGACTCAAAAACACATTCTTTTGCACAGCCATTTCACCATATCCTTCAGATACTTTTGTGCTCTTACGCAAATAGCTACAGGCACACAAAAAAGTATTCCTTGCAATGTTAATAACAGCAGAAAAATACAATCTAAATTCTATTCAATGTGTTGTTGTTGTTAAGTGCCATCGGGTCAGTTCTGATCCACAGCAACCTTGTATAGGGTTTCCAAGGAGTAGCTGGTAAACTTGAACGGCTGGCCTTGTGGTTTAAAGAGATTTCGCAGTCCAGCACATTAGCCCACTGTGCTACACCAGGAGTAGTTAAAAACTGATTCCAAATATACAATGGAATGCTAAGCAGTCATTAAAAAGAATGAGATTTCTCTGTGCTGTTAGAAAAAGATGACCAAACTCAATTCTTAGTGAAAAAAGCAAGTAGTAGAATACTATGTACACCGAATCTCATGTGTTTAATGGCTGAGTATATATTTTTGCATGCACCAAAACTTTCTGGAAGGATATATAAAAGACTGCTACACATTTAACCTTGAGGAGTGGGAATGGGTGATTAAAAGGAACAAGACACCTTGATTTCCTTTATAACCTTGTATATTTTCACCTTACACCTGGTCTTATTTTAAATTTACAAAGGTATACTTTTAAAGTATATATTAGAAAACAAAAAGAAACCAGATAAACATATGATTTGTTATGCAAGCTACTCTACAGACTACACTTGTTGTTTAGTGCCGTTGAGTCACTTCTGACCCAGAGGGATTCCAAGGAGCATCTGGTGAACTCGAACTGCTAACTTTACAGTTCAAACTGACTTTGCAGTCCAGCACATTAACCCACAGCTCCACACCAGGACTCCATAAACTATACTTACGAAACCTTTATTCTAATATAAATGTTATGTTACAGAATACAGAATGCTTTGATTAAATTAACATAACTCTATAGGAAAAAATTTAACTGATATTTTAGATTGGGATAAAGCTTTCTCTTCCCAAATCTTATACACTACCCTGCTGGCTAACAAAGGGCAATCACTAAAATTTCCCTAAGAACGAGTAAAGATAAAAGGGAAGTGACTGACTTCTGTATCATATTGGGAAGAAATATAAGAAGATCCAGTTTTACAAGTTGAAGCAGTCAATCAATGGCAAATGACAATATTAACTGGCTTGATCCTATGATCTATCCCTAAATGGTAACATAACCAATGTGGTAAGAATACTATTGTACTATGAATATAAAAGAGCATGGAGTCCTGGCGTGGCGCTGTGGGGTAATGCAAGGTTCGCAGTTCAAGCTCAGCAGCTGCTCCTTGGAAACCCTATACAGGGTCGCTATGGGTCGGAACTGACTTGTAAGCACCTAACAACAACAACATAAAAGAGCATATACAGAATATTAGTATCATCATCTAAGGTGCAACGATTAGTCTCTCCCTGTCCTGAGCAAAGAGCAGGGAAGAAATCAAAGATGCATGGAAACAATTAGTTCAATGGACCACACACAAACCTCAGTTTCCATTCCCTGAGATCCGAAGAACTAGATGGTAGCCGGCTGCCACTATGGACCTCTCTGAAAGGGATCATATTAGAAGGTCCTGTATAAAGTGAGACCGAAATATGGAAGAAAACTCAAAATCATAAAAAACAACAACCACCAGGCATACTGCTTAGATAGGTGGAACCCACAGATGTGGCACTTAGTCATCCATCAGGTCTGGAATTGAAGTCAATCCTGTGGTTCAATTTTCACTCAAATAATACAAAGGTGTATAAGGTGAACAGTAATACTAGGGAGGTATGCACTCCTTAGAACAATCAATCATTTGAAATCAAAAGGACAGTATTTGCCCAAGGACAAAGTTTAGAAGGCAGAAAGGACTAGGAAAGGAGGAATGATAATGACCAATACAGGGTAGAAATGGGATGAGTGATGTTACATGAAACAAATCAATCAATGACATTAAACAAAATGGGCATGAATTACTGAATAGAACACCAATGTGCTTTGTAAACTTTCACCCAATTCACAATAAAAAATACAAACAACAAAAAACCAGTAGTCCAGTACTGTACTAAGCATGTTTCTGGCACCAACTTATTATTCCTCACAATTACCATGCCTATCAGGATAGACAGGCTCTGCCATTAATCCTATTCCACAAAGAAAACACGGCACCTGAAAGGGCAAGCTTAAAACCTGCAGTGATAGAACATGAACTCTGGTTTGGCTAACTTTAAGCCAACACTTTTGTATTTAACTGTTTGCTTCCTTGCATACCAAACTTTAACTGAAGAAATTATCCTCAACTCCTAGGCAGAAATTCACACTCATTACAGTCTAGAGTTCTGACCATTACCGGTTCTGTGCTGTGAATGTTTCCCTCTGAGGATGAAGATCACAATAAACAACCCTGAGGAGATCATGCTGGCACAATGCCCCTTCTGTTAAAGCCATGGATCCAATTGTTGAGGGCTGTGAAAATAAAGCAAAGTATGAAACAGTGTTTCTAAAACGAGGTAAAAATCTGTATTACATAATGATATTTAATTTTAAACAAAACTATGTTCTAACAAAAAGCAATTTCAGACCATTCTCTTTCAAAACCTTTGCAAGTTCCAAGTTACATAAATTCCTTTGGGAAATTATATAAAACTCAAAATATATTGCTTTATTTTGAAAAGACTATAGAATGACTCTATATGTAGGAAGGAAAATAAGAAAAGTTAGTGAAAAAGCTAAAGGTTAAAAATATATCCATTTTAATATGAGTTTAAGAATACAGAATAAAACTGCTATAAATCAAGACTACGACCAACTATCTCGTTAATAGTGACATAATTGATTTCCTTTTTCTAAAGTGGTTGCTGTTGTTGCTAGTGTCGCCAAGTCAGTCCTGACTCATGGCAACCTGTATTTCTATGAGAGAGCTGTTTCCGAGAGCAGCTGGTGGGTTTGAATCACCAATCGTGCAGTTAGCAGTCTGATGCTTCAGCTACAGTTCCACACCAGGACCACAAATTCATGAATACTTCACTACCTTCCATTTATCATAAGATGACGTAAAGAATTCATTAAAATCTATAACTCAGAAATATTGTAAACTAAAATGAGTCCTGGCTAAATCTGAGGCATTCTATTTCCAACACAAAGCAAAGTTCTTAGGGGAATTAATTAAGGAAATAAATAGCTGCAGAGAGCTATGAGACAAACAAAGCAATACAAGTTAGGAACATGGAATATAATTTTAGTTGACTGGTAGAGTTTCTTTAAATGTTCCCCTCACAATTTTATGCACTAAAAGTCACTAGAGACCAGAAGTTTGAGTCATGACATTATTTCCTTACTGGATTGTATTTCATGAGAGCAGGTATAAGGAGTTCAGTTTAACAAGCATCAGTTACCTTTATGACTATCAATGATCTCATATTCTTCAAGCAAATAAAATATAAGCAAAATAAAAAGTGTAATGTTACTGAGCAACTAGAATATACCAAGTAGCTTCTTTTAAACTGAAATATAACAATTTAAATTCTTCTAAATAGTTAATTTCCTAAAGATTAACAAAAACAAATCAAGCTAACACAGGTACTATCTAAGCAGTACATATGGAGTCCTACAACCACTACAGCCTACGAAATGCTATGAGGGCAGCTGCACACTGTCATATAGGGCACTATAAGTCAGAATCCACTGCAAGGCACACAACAACAAAGCAATACACAAAAGACTTTAAAAAATACATTTTCAAAAGCACACAAAAGAGTAATACAAACACCCAAAATGACATAGGTGGAAGAATAAAAAGAATTAAACAAGAATGAGTGGAAACATTTTCCAATAATTACTTTCTGCCTCTCTTGACATACCTCAACTCTGTATCACTAACAGCAAAAATCTATTTAAAAAAAAAAAAACTTTTATTGTGAATTATGTGATAGTTTACATGGGAGAACATTAGCTTTACATTCATCCTATCATATATCTTTATATTGCCATGGTTACAGTCCCCTCCATGAATCATCAACCAACCAAATGCTACACCCTACAAGCCTGCCCCCTGGTTGTCAGCACACAGCCCCTCTCCCTCTCTGGGTTTAGAGTTCCCAGCGGCTCCATCTCTCCATGTTATCATCTCTGCTTCCATCTCTGGCGTCACTGTTTCTCTGGGTAGGGTCCCGCACTCTACTCTTCTCCCTTGATGGTCCCAGGGACCTCCGCTCCTAGACTGCAAAGTCAACCATTCCCCTCCTTTGCTACAAAACGTCTACCTTTACATTTCTAACCCTCACAGTCAGTCCTGACAGCAATTATTCACTATTGTACCACATGAGTGCTATCCCCATCTCCTTTCATCAGTCCTGCCCTGACAGATTGGATACTATCAGTGGAGAGTCTACCTTCCTCCGCACCCTCTGGATGCAGGCTCCCTCTTGAAAGCTTGTAAGCCAGTCACTTCTTGCCTTTGTAGCCCCCCCATTTTGGGTAGCCAATGTCCAAGTTGCACATCCCTGTCTACTCTGTGTTTGGAGGGGTGGGAATGATCCTTGCTGTAAAGATTTGTTCCCTCTTTTGAGCTACTGCATCCATAGGTGTAGGTCAAGTTCATCAAATTGTATCACATTACTCTTTTTTTCCTCTTCTTTCTTCTTCTAGTTGAGCTCTGATCATCCAGTCATTGAAGGCAGGTCAAGTGGGTATTATCTGCAAGTTTCGTTATTCTTGTGCATATGTCCTCTTTTCTTATCACTTGGACACTTCAATCTCCACTGTAGTCCTCTGTGGCTAAGTCACTGACTCTGGGCCCTGGAGTCCCCAGGTCTTGCCATATTGTTAGCCAACCAGGTCTCCACCTGGGTTCACAGGAGTCTATCGAACGTGGTTGGACTTAGCTTGCAGCTTCATTCCTGTTTTTCCCTTATTTCCCCTTATTGGTGACCAATTGGTCACTAGTCAGAGCACGTGTCTGCTCATGTATTCCCACTGAGTCTTAGTCTTAAAAGGGGGTTTGCCTTGAGGGGCCCCGACCGCTTGCCTGATGTCTCCTAGGCGGGCAACTTGCTTGTTCTTGTAGTAGTCAGTCCGACGGCTGTTACCGTTTTTGTATTTTTCTTTCTTTCAAGAAGTATCTTCTATTCTTCTAGCTGCTCCAGGCTGGTCTGCTAGTCCTTTCAAGTGGAAATTTCCCACCTCAGAAGATTCTGGATGTGTTTCAAGATTTCACCTATGGTCTTATGTAATGCAGAGGCTCCAGAGAAAGCCTCCTTCACTGGGCAAGCTATCGTCCCCATTTTAGGTATTCCAATAAACATCTACTTTTAAGATGCAAATCAGTAAAGATACACATATTAGCAATAGTTAGATCTGACAAGAAACTGACCTTGCAACTCTTAATATAGCTTTAAATCATTCCACTTTTTTAATCTTACTTACCTCATGGTATATTGAAGGCTTAGATAAGGAAGGTATAGTGAAAGAGAGAACTTTATTGTTTCCATCTTTATCAGCAATTTCCTGTAGTTTAAAAAATATACAAAGATAATGATATAATCACTACATATTATGTGAAATAAAGACTACTTTTTAAATTTACAGAATACATCACTAACAAATAAAGAAAAAACATTTTTCTTTTCTTTCTTTTTTTTTTTAAAGCAATAGTAATATACAGTAAAACTTGAGAATGCCAGAGCCACTATAAGGTGGAAACTTGTCAGATAAGAAAATGCAAATATATCCCACAAATAGAGAGCAATAGGAAAATGATAAGACTGAATCCTGTCAAAGATCGAAAACCTGTAAGACTTGGAAAAGAAGGCAATCCCATTAACTTCTGGATCTCAGATTTCACCGTATAAAAAATATTACTACCCTACCCTACTATAGCTGTTCTGGAGTCTTGGTACGAAGCTGTGGAGTAAGTACTAGACAGCAAGGCAGGTTTGAACCACATGGTCGGTGGTTCAAACTTACCAGCTGCTCCTTGGATATCCTATACAGGGTTGGTATGAGTTAGAAGTGGTTCAACAGCACTTAACAACAACAAAAATAATATAGCTTTTCTAGGACTCCTGGTGGGCCCTATAGGATTAGCACTAAACTTCAAATTACAAGTTTGATAGTTCAAATCCACCAGCTGCTCCTCGGAAACCCTATCTGGGTCATGAGTTGGAATGAACTCTATGGCATTTACAACAACAAGCAAATTTATATATTTACTGTTGTTGTTGTTAAGTGCCACTGACAGGTATACTAAATCAAATACAGGGAGTCTTCAAAAAATTTGTGGAAAAATGGAATTAAAAGATAAAAATTATAAATATTAATTTTATGTTTCAACCTAAGTAAGCTCCATCAAGTTCAAGACACTTGTAATCTATGAAACCAGTTCATTCCTAAAGAACCGAGGGTCCTGGAAATTTAACCAAGTCAATGTAGCCATTTCCATATTAACTGAAAACATGTGTTTTTTAAAGATTTTTGTAAGATTATGTAACAAGAAGTCATGAGTCAAATCAGGACTGTTAAGGGGGATGCTTAGTGATTTTCCATGGAAACTCTTGCAAAATTGCCCTTGTTTGAGGAGAGGAATGAGCAGGAACATTGTTGTAGTGAAGAAAGACTCTGGTGAAGCTTTTCCAGGTGTTTCTCTGCTAAAGTTTCTCAAAACATATTCATAATAAGCAGATGTGGGTGTTGTAGAATAAGTATTGGACCACGAGGTTGGTGATTCAAACTCACCAGCCTGGTTCAATTCAAATTCAAATTCAAATCCTATCCAGGTTCAATATGAGTCAGAACTAACTTGACGGGACTTAACAATAACAACATGTTTGATGGTCCTCCAGAAAGTGAACAAGGAGAAAGAACATCCCCAAAAACGCTGCCATCACCTCTGCTCTGCCTTGTGCTTTTGCTTTGAATGGACCACAGCCACTGTTTGGTAGCAATTGCTTTGATTGTGCTTTGTCTTCAGGATCATACTAGAAAAGGGATGCGTCTCTCTCTTTACAGTCTTTTTAAGAAATGCTTCTCAATCCTGATCCCACTTGTCTAAAATTTCCATTGACAGCTCTGCTGTTGTCTGTAGCTGATCTGGGCACAACATTTTTTTTAACAAGTTGTTGTTAAGTGTTGTCAAGTCAGCTCCAAGTCATAACATCCTTGTATCAGGTTTCCGAGGCTGGAAATCTCTGCAGGAGCAGAGAGCCTCAGTGTGAGTTTATTTGGGGGCAAAGGAAAAAAAAAAAAAAAATCCATGCACAGATTTTTCATAATACACATTTTCCATGAACTTTAAAAAAAACTTATACAATACAGCTAGCAATAAAGACATGAAGAAGGCACACAAATAATTTTCATATTAAATTTACTTAACAGTAAACTAAGATTATAAGTGATTAGATCTTGTATTAGAAATATGGCTGAGTAAACAAGATAAAAATGAAAGGTCTTGGCCAAGAGATCACACTTATTAAAACAGAAAAGTACATATACTAAAACAGATTGAATCTTGACTAAAAGAAATTTCTTACAGTTATTCAGCAACAAACTCACAACCTAAACCAAGCGACATGTTTACATAATTAATATTTGCCCAAGTAATTAAAACAAATTCATATTTAGATTTTTCAGTAAGGTGGAAACAATTCTTGTGACTTTTAAAAGCACTTTGACTCTCCGTTCTTTGGCATTTCCAATCCTTCTCAGAAATCAATAACTAACTAACTAAAGGCACCAGCTGTCAGAGGGTGAAAAGCAGCTGCAACACTCATTTTCTCCAACACTGTGTTTCAGTCTAAGTTTCTTTAACAACTCATATCACTGTACATTGTAAGTCCACAGAGAGATTTCTACACTTAAATAAGAGGAAGTAATAACTATCATTACCAAAAGACAGACTCAAAACCCTTCTTTACATAGTTCCTTGCTGAATTTAAGATTTCACAGGAGAAAACCAGTTATTTGTGAGCAATAGTCAGACTTCTAAACTTGGTATGAAAGCAGCTTTTAGAATTATAGACATAGACAGAGACAGGCAGACACACAGAGAGAAGATATCATACAACTCCTTTGCAGTCAAATTTCAGTTATGTGTCATTGTGTCTTAGAGAAAGCATATGCTAATATAAGTGAACACAGTCTAAATTAAGCAATAAAATTTTCATTTCTAATTAAGCCATATTCCTTTGGTTTATCATTTTTGTGATTTATTTGTGAAGGGTGCTCTGAGATTTGTTAAAGCTGAGAGCAGAATCAAACTCTCCTGGGGGCATTCAAGGCAAGAGACAAATGAGTAGATAGAAAATGCCTAATGAGATAAATTGAGCAGAGCAAGCAGAGACATCAAGGGAATTAAAAGGAGTTCAGAAGTCTCACATTGCATTTCTGACATCCAACTATGCATTTTTTATAGTTTTTGAGTTAATATTATGATACTCTATTTTTAAGATGCTAAAAGATATTAAACCATAACACCAGCATAGAGTACATACAGTAAAAAAAAAATTCTAATCAGCAAAATAATTGTTTCATCTGTCCTATTACTAAGTTTTACACTAAACAAATTAATCTGACATAGTTACTCAACAATAAACTAACATCATGTTGACGGTGGTAGGGTAGAGGTGCAGTGAAATTCTTCACCAGCAACACTACAGAATACCAGGGAAGCTAGTTCAGGGCATAGCTCCAAAACTCTGAACCACATAGGTATGAACATTCTAAAAGTTTGCAGGCTTATAGCTAGTGGAACTTATAGCGGAAGTAAGAAATTGCGTACTTTTGAATCCACCAGCCTCTGCGGCCCGGGGGCGACAACTTGGGCGAGACCAAATGGCAAGACCAAGTGGGAGAGCAAACAGATCACCACAGAACAACGCTGCAGGAACCTCAGAGCAAGGTGGACAATACACTTTGTCGGTTTTGCTATTTTCTTTCTTTTTTGTATCTGTTCATTGGCCACCCACTGTTTGCACACCTCCATTCTGGTGACTAGAGGGGATGTCTAAGCCAGTGGACACCCCCCACTCCCACCACTGGTGGGTTCTTCTGCCATGCATGTGCACAGATACTCTCAGCCCAAGAGCCGGCCGTGAGCTGTTTTTTAATAGGGAAAAGGCCAAAACAAGGGGTGTGGATAGGGAAAGAGAGCTTAAAAACAAAACAGGCCAAAAATTAAATTAAATCCTGAGGTATAGCATAAAAACCAACAGTGGCTTCTTGAAATTTATTAAAGGGCCTTTGAAGGCAAGAACCTGAAAGAGGACATTAAAGTCATACTCATATTAAGCTACAGATATATTTTTTTCTTCTCTCCCTCCATTCCCCTTTCTACGATTACAGAATACAGTATCCGATATAGGTTTCTTTTGTTATTGTTGCTTTTTTGGGGGGTTTTTTGTTTTGCTGTTTTATGCTCCCCCTTTTACCTTTGGGGGACTCTTTCTCTCCCTATATTACTGAAGTAGAGACAGCAACTGGTGCCATATAGTCAAGCTACAATCACACTGTATAAAACACCAAAATCCAGGCAAGAAACAATACCAACTGCCATACACCAGGGAGGCAGATAACACCTGTGAAAGTTACTCGAGTTAAGTAATAAGAAGAGTGAAAAGGGAAGCCCACATCCTGATCACATCTACCTGGAGGCAATCAGAAAGCCTAAAAAAAATGCCAAATCATACAATCAATTAAGTATTAAGGCTACAGATAAACACTAAACATGTCTAAGAAGCAAAAGCAGATAAGTATATCAGTACATGTCCAGAAACAAGATACAATGCCTGAGACAAATGACCTAGAGGTAGACCTGGACTCCATTCTGGAAGGAGGGCAGGCTTTGGAATTGCCTGAGAAGTAATTCAGAAAAATTACTATAAAATGTTTCAAATACTTTACAATGGAGTTAAGAAAAATAAGGAAGAAGTCAGTAGAGTGCTACAGGAACAATCAAATAAGATAGACACAGCATTGGAAACAATTCAAAACCTACAGAAAGAGGTCCAAACAATCAATAATAGAATATCAGAAATAGACAATACATTGAAATGGCAAAGGAGTAGAATAGAAGAAATGGAAGGCAGAACTAGTGAGCTGGAAGACAAAGCTCTCAATACCACAAAGATAGAACAGCAAACACAAAAAAAGGATAAAAAGGTCTAAAATTCATGCTGGACAACATGAAGAGGAATAACTTAAGAATTATCAGTATCAGCAATACAGAACAGGAAGAATCACACAAGTCCAAAAAGGAAATAGTTGAAGAACTGCTGGAAGAAAAATTCCCTAACATTATGAACAGTGAAAAGATATACATTTAAGAAGCTCAACGAACCCCAAGAGGACAGACCCCAAAGGAAAATCACGGGGACTTATCATAATCAAGCTCTCCAAAATCAAAGACAAGTAGAGAACCCTGAAAAGCAGCTAGGGAATACAGAAGTGTTACATAAAAAGGCATGCAAGTCAGATTAAGTTTGGATCTCTCGGCAGAAACCACGCAAGCAAGA